AGTTGATCGGAATCTACAGGAAGAAAATCCGGTAACTTCCAACTGGAATACTGCTTCCAGTTTCCAGCGCTTTCCTGTGCTTTCCGGCCGTTTCCCGCCGTACGTCCACGACCTGGGTATAGTTATATTTCATGCTGTGCTACAACAATTTTTATCTACGTAATGTAAAATTAAAAGGAATTTCTAATCACTAGATGTTGTTTGTGAGTCTACTTACGAGGGAACATTCTCAAGTGATTCGCACCATTTCAATTCATCTTTTTCTGGCTTGCAGGGCCGGTCATATATATGAAATACCTGAAAGGGTTCATGCCATTGCGGGTCGACTTCAAAGTTATGAGCGGAAAAATGTTACAATAGATGGTGCCACCTTATATGTGCTATTTTTTCTTCTTTTCATATCTCAACTAGGGGATGATTTTCCCCCTAGATATTTATAAAACGAACATTTCTCAACTTGCTCGAACGAAAAAAGTTTCGAGAAGTATGTTTGAGCTACCTGGTCGAAAGAACAAAACATTAATGAATAGATAGTAGCACCATCTATCAAAGCAGTTGTTTCGCTCATAACTTTGAAACCGAGTAGCAATGGCACGAACCCTTTCACATATGTCATATATATGATGAGCTCTACAAACCAGCAAAAGATGAATCGAAGTGGTACGAATCACTTGGGAACGCTCTCTCGTTAGATACTATAATATTGTTTTAGAACATAGAAACTCGAAATTCGTTCTATAACACTATCATCATCCATATTCATTTCTGATCAGAGTCATACCCATGCCCAAGAAAACGGTGCGTAAAATACCGTAAGCGAGCTGACGAATTACGACGCACTAACGTGAAAACTAGTGCCTTATTATACCGCTTTATAGCCGTTTCAGACCTTTTAAGATGCTCGTTCAGAGGATCGGAATGATTGTCCTGGGTAACGAAAACTTTTCTTCTACAGTGCATCGAGTCAATTTAAAAATTATGGTCGTCTGTTAAGGACTACTTTTCCAACGACTTTCAAATTCATATAAAATATCATTGAAAAAATTGAACAATAGTCTGAAGTTTATGTTTTTGATAAGATTTACATTACATCTGATGAAATATTTCAATTCAGTTTTTACTCGTATTACTTGCAGTTGATCGGTATTTCTATCTCTAGACAATGGTTTGGAGACAGATTCGTCTAGTTCGTCAGAAATGAATGACACCAGCACTAGTGCATCGATTCAACCAACCACGACCACCGAATCGAAAGAGTCAAAAAAACATCGGCGCCATTGGAGTTCGGAAAAAAATCTTCGAGACGTTCTTCGATACTCACTGAGAGAAGGATTCGAAGGTATCAGCTATACACCCCCAATTCCAAGTGATACATGCGGGCGACAACACATTTCGCCGAAGTTCTCAGAACGTATTCTTGGTGGATTTGAAGCAGTGGCTCACTCGTGGCCATGGGTATGTCTATCTGAAATTTGTNGATCAAGGACGGATCTTTCGTACTGATACAATGAGCAGCTGTTAGAACATAATTTTCATCTATCAAAGTACCTCCACAAGTTCCACTTTGTTCATATAAAACTTGCTGATATTTATAAATAAAAAAAAACAGTCAAATTTCAAAACAAACAAATTTCAGATAGACATACCCATGGCCACGAGTGAGCCACTGCTTCAAATCCACCAAGAATACGTTCTGAGAACTTCGGCGAAATCTGTTGTCGCCCGCATGTATCACTTGGAATTGGGCGTGTATAGCTGATACCTTCGAATCCTTCTCTCAGTGAGTATCGAAGAACGTCTCGAAGATTTTTTTCCAGACCCCGATGGCGTCGATGTTTTTTTGACTCTTTCGATTCGCTGGCCGTGCTTGGTTGAATCGATGCACTACTGCTGGTGTCATTTATTTCTGACGAACTAGACCAATCTGTCTCCGAGTCATTTTCTAGAGATAGAAATACCGATCAATTGCAAGTAATACGAGTAAAAACTGAATTGAAATATTTCATCAGATGTAATGTAAATCTTATCAAAAGCATAAACTTCAGACTATTGTTCAATTTTTTCAATGATATTTTATATAAATTTGAAGGTCGTTGGAAAAGTAGCCCTTAACAGATGAAGATAATTTTTTAAATTGACTCGATGCACTGCAGAAGAAAAGTTTTCGTTACCCAGGACAATCATTCCGATCGTCTGAACGAGTATCTTAAAAGGTCTGAAACAGCTATAAAACGGTATAATAAGGCATTAATTTTCACCTTATTGCGTTGTAATGCGCCAGCTCGTTTTACGGGCCGTTTTTAACATTATTGTAACGATTTTAGATAGAGGAGATGCCTGTACTGATGGTATTACACTTTATTTAACTCTTCAAATCATAGATCGCCCGATTATATATAAAGCACACGGTCAAATACTCAGCCATTTGAGAGAACGAAGGAGAATGAGAGATAAAGACAAATATGAAGGACAGAAAGATAAAGACAAATATGAAGGACAGAAAGATAAAGACAAATATGAAGGACAGAAAGATAAAGACAAACATGAAGGACAGAACGATAAAGACAAGCATGAAGAGCAGAAAGATAAGACAAATACCAAGGACAGAAAGATAAGACAAATACCAAGGACAGAAAGATAAGACAAATACCAAGGACAGAAAGATAAAGGCAATATATGTGATGAGAAGAAATGGCACCATAAGGCCAAATACCATGCACAGACCACACTCGAACGGGAGCGTTACACTCCTGTGTGGAATTTAGACGCTCTCCGCATTTATCGTTGCAATTATATTCTTCGTTCTCTGAGCTGATGGAAAACGGCACCGTTTTTCAACGTTTTAACGACGTTTACGGCATTTTACGCACCGTTTTCTTGGACATGGGTATGAGTCTGATCAGAAATTGATATGGATGATGGTAGTGTTAGAGAACGAATTTCGAGTTTCTATGTTCTAAAACAATACTATAGTATCTAACGGTAAGTAGACTCACAAACAACATCTAGTGATTAGAAATTCTTTTCAATTTTACAGTGCGTAGATAAAAATTGCTGTAGCACAGCATGAAGTATAATTATAGTCAAGTCATTACTGTTAATCTTTTTAAAGTGTTTTATTCTATTGATGAGATATAGTTTTGTTTATCATTAGTATTGCTTACGTTTTCGCTGCTGCATAGCTAGGCCTGCCGATACATATTTACGTATGCGTTCTTGTCCCCTCTTGGGCATTTTCTCGAGTAAAACTCTAGTCGCATCATTTTGACATTGAGTGATTGCAAGACAACAGATAAGGAGTAAAACAGCCACAATGAATCTTGTCGTTAACATGACGAGACTGAAGCAAAGCGTTCAGATTAATTTATTAACAAATAGCCATCAATCACAAGAAACTTACTATAGTCAATGCAGAATTGCAATGGAAGCGTCTGTGTCGAATGTATATAACGGCTTGTACTTTTTTTATGAGTAACCAATGGGAAGATGGGAGAAGACGAGAAGCAAAATAAGAAGAATAATTATTATGTTTGTCAGTTGATATTGTAATTGAAAGCGTATCTGTTCAAAATAGAAACGATCGTGTAATTAAAAACGGTATCTAATTGATGGACATGCTTCAATGTTATGCATAGCAATGGATGTGAAACCTAGATATTGTAACAGTATAATTGATCATTTGCCAAATATTCACGATGTAATATTAGCGTATAACACGGGCTTCATTTAAAACTGATATTTTATTCGGCCCTATTCATAAAACGTATGTAATAAACTTGATTAGATAGTGCAGGCATAAAACGAAGCATTTTGCTTTCGTAGTTCACAATTTTATATTTTCATATATAGAGATGGGGTGTGACCGTGTCGTGTCTCGTTGTGTGTCTGGTTTCTGATTTTACACGAGTTTCTCGCTATGTTCTTTTTTCTCTCTCTCTCTCGGCTTTATCGTTGTTTTTCTGTCGCGTTTGAAACTGAATTAATTATGTTTGACGCCTCTCGCCAACTGATATATTTTTGTCTCTCTCAGAGTGTTTATACTAGCAGTTGAAGTTACGTGTTTGTGTAATTATATTTGTATTTGAAAGCAACAGTCAAACTCGTGTTCATCTTCGTAGTATATACTGCTGGTCCAATTTAAACATCTGTAATTTAGAATACAGAAAGTGCCGTTATCCGATAATACATCTAAATGGAAGAACAGACTTTGCAATTGTTTAAGCTTTTTCAACGAATATATTTGCAAGCATATCATTGACATTGCTATTACGCTGATATTTAATAAATCACGTTCATCAGCAAAGGACACACCTTTGCTTGAAAACAGAAAATGAGAAAGACTACACAAAGCAAGAAAAGCTCTATTTATACAATAACTGTATGATTTAATTATTCACTCAGCTTCTATTAAAAATGACCTGATATTTACCTATTAGTTCATTGAAAAATCTGCTTTGATATGTTTAAACTACCCATGTGACAGTAAAGGTGAAAAAAAATTAACAGGTAAATTTATTTATAAGTGAACCGTGTTAAGTACTCTTCTTCTTTTTTTTCGACTATTCACTTGGGAAAGTGAAAAAATAGTACCAAAATTTAATTCATTTTTTTATACTAATATTAAAAGTACGCCATAGTTTTTTAAAGACTAGTCTTACAAAAAGAAACTGTGACTAAATGGTGTTTTAAAAGCTATTAAATAACTTTACCTGTGTAAAGGAAACTTCTTATGACGATTTTGCTTACAATTGAGTTTACAGTTTGACGATTTTTAGTATAGAAAAAAGTCCTATTTAGTTTTTATTCCAATATTTATATCAGACAATAATAATCACACCGAATCAAAATGTGTACTCACCGATTTAACACACAAAAAGGAAAAATAAATAATTTAATTCAACAAACTGATTAAAACAAAAAGATACAACGTGGATAAACTGCATTTCATGGTTGAACGAATTCATATTAAAGTGGAGTTGTCGCTGGAGAAATAACTAAAATAGAGAAAGAAGCAAAAATTTTAGAAAATTCTATTAATACATAGAAGCATTTCTTACCGTCGTTTTGATTATTTCCTCTTCTATCACGTATGGCTTCTTCATCTTCGCCAGCAAGTTGAACGAATATTTGTTCGAGTGTTGTTTGTGATACTGAATATGATTCAATTATTCCTTGTTCTTTCTTTTGATTCAAGACTTCAAAGACACGTCCCAAATTATACGGTAATCTGCTTGCATTTGCTTCATTCGTTAATGAATATGACAATGGTAGATTACAGAAGAGCATTTCATTATATTGATCTATTTAAACAAATTAAATCATGGTACTCGAAAATTTTAATACTCTTACCTTGTACTTCAATTCCTGGTAAACTTGATATTAAATTCTCTTTAACACCCTCGATATTATCCCCGGCTACTTTTATTTTGACAGCGTAACCTTTACCGAAACGAGTTCTTAAATGTTGCAGATTTCCAAGACACATAAATTGACCCTGATTCATAATACCGATTTCTAGAGATAGAAACAGTCAGTATAATATCGTTGAGATTAAAATATGAAACGCAATGTAGATCGCCTATAAAAATCTATAGAGCAGATGCACATCTGTTTACTGGAAAAACTCTTTGTAGATCGTGTTTCAGAAAACAAAAAATTCGAATCTCGATTACTTACTAGTACATAGAGCTTCACATTCTTCCATACTGAAAATATTAAAAATTAAAACAATTAGATACGATAAAGTTCATGAATTACTTTACCTATGACTTGTCATAATAATTGTCAAACCAACATCACGGGCAGTTCGAATTACTTTCCATAATTTTCGTTTAGCAGCTGCGTCCAAACCCTATAGAAAAGTCATATCATGATTGGATTGTTCTCCTCTTAATATAACAAAATTCATACCGTTGTTGGCTCATCTAAGAAGACTAATTCTGGATTAGCCATAAATGCTAAAGCTGCACTAACTTTTCGTTTATTACCACCACTATAAATAACTCATTTGAGCAATTAATTTTGTTTTTTAACGTCAAAAATTTACCTGAGTTTTTGTACTAGACGATTTTCATATGCTTCAAGACCAAAGATATTCATCATGTTATAACACATTTCTGATACTTCCGATTCTTCTACACCTTTCAATCTAAATAAAACATATTTAAAGAATTTGCGCACGAACAAACTTAAACGTGCTCAAATAGAGTGTTTCAGTTATAATTGTAAGGTATGTTTACCTAGCAAATAACATCAATGTTTCGAAAACACTAAGATCAGAAATAAGCCAATCAAACTGTGGACAGAAACCAAGTTCTAAATCTCGTTTCTATAACAAGAAAAAAATGCTGTTTTATCTTAACATAAATATATCTATTTATTTACCGTTTTACTGATATTTTTTCCATTGATAATTATGCTTCCAGACGTTGATTTGATATCATTAATTAACATACGAAATGTTGTCGTTTTTCCGGCTCCATTTGCTCCTAAAGAAAGTTAATAGAACATGTTTGCATACGAAGTCAGCAATTGATAAAATATCTTATACCCAATAGACCAAAACATGCTCGCTTTTGTACATAAAAATTTAAATGATTAACTGCCAAATAAACTCGATCACCATTCGATTGTTTCTTTTTAGTATTGAATGCTTTGACAAGATCTTTAACAACAATTACAGATTCTTTTGCTATTGCATTATCGTGTAAAATCAATTGACGTTCTAGTCTTACATCTTCGTCTAAATTCTAAAACAAACGAAATTTTAAAGTTATGCTTTGCCGTAAAGAAAATTTCCTACTGAATCATCCCATTCTTCAGATATCATTGCATTCGATGAGCCTAGTCCACAACAACATCCTTGCCGAGCTTTTCGGACTCTTGAACAATGTTCAACCACAGCTAACATCACCAACCAAAATGCAATTTGTACAATAAATATAATTAATTGTGTTCCGACACCAGGTTGACTAGTTGCCATTAATGAGCCAGTTGAAGATAATTGAGTGCCTAACAGTGAATTCCACGCAGTTATACATGCACTATTTTCATGTAACTGAATGTTAGCAATGGCTTGTTTTAAATTAATTGTTGGCAGTAAAGCTGCACCAATATAACGAACAACCGATATTGTCGAATAGATTCTGGTAGGACCTGCTGATGGTGTATTATTTTTAATGAAGACAGGAAACGAACTAATAACGGCATCAATAACACATCCAATAACATTTAAGATAAAAAAATTTGAAAAGCCCATAATTGATGATTTTGGAATAAAGGAAAAAACATAAACGAACGGTAACGATGCTAATGTATACATGAGAAACACTAGAAAAAAGACGCCTGTTGCTGTTGAGTTTTGATAAACATGTACTTCAGCATCAGTTTTTGGATTCGCTGCACTGCCGATCTGCAAAAAAAGTTGTTATATGAAAAAGAAAACAAGAGTATTTTTCTTCTCAGGACATACTTTTATAATAATTGTTAAAAGTGAAATAAGAATCAAACATAACGAAAAATCAAAGATCCAATGTGCAAGCCAATAGCCATGTCTTTTTAAATTAGTTAACAATTGAAGATCTTTCGAATTGCTAATACGCTCCGTCACTAATGTTAATAGAAGAATAGCAATGTATATTGTTGCTATAATACTATTGAACAAGCTAAACAATGATATTGGAAATACTTCGAAACAATAGAGAACATTTATAATTTGCGCAAGATACGATGTTGATGTTGGATTTGTTATTATGGGTTGATTGATTGTAACAATACTTTTCGATGATGAATTTGCATAGAATTGAAAAAGATTTGTTGCTGCAGCGCCTAAACTTGTTGGCATCGTATGAAAATTAACTGTTGAATAATAAGCATTCATTCGTAATGACGGTGACAACAACGTACCGTTATTATAGGCAGCTAAACCTAATTGGTATGTATTAATGAATATATCTTCAGTTTGATAATATCTTCCTGTAACATAACTAAGTACAGTATCGGTAAATATTTCATCAACAGTGACACCGGTGCCAGATAGATAACTAATAAGATTGCTTTCTACATTATTTGTATTACTATTCGCATATGCAACAACAGTTTGCGTATTATAAATCGATGGAATCAATGTTACTTGAGCATCGGTAATACGTGCATAGGTTGTAAGTGAATTTTGAATTTCTCGTGGCGTCGGTATAGCAGAAACGTTAAGAATTTCGAGAAGGATTGTAAGTAGAAAAAAACCTAAGAATAAACTAATCTGTCGCCGAGAAACGTGCCAGCGTTTGATTAATAAGGCTCGAATACGAGCCCAAAATAGACTGATGCCATGAACACGTGGATATTGTTTACGAAAAACTATAAAGACATTTTTTTTTACCTTCGATTAACTATTTTAACTCAGTGATTCGATTACCTTCTTCGCCTAACTGACGTTTATTGCCTTCTTGCGTTTGTTCATTTTCTTCCTCTTCTTGAACTAATCTAGATAAAAGGAAAATTTTGATTAAGAAAGATTTAGATTTTGTTTATCTACCGTAGAAAAACATCTTCAATAGTTGTCATTGATAAGCCATAGGAATTAATGCCAATGGCGTCTTTGTTTTGATCGAGTCCACTAATTAATCGTTCAATATTTTCCGATTCGCCACGCTTTATTCCATAGACAAGTTCTGCAGCTGACTCACGTTCTAGAACAACACTACCAACGTATCCTTGAATAAATTGCGTTATGCGATCGCTAGAAGATTGATCTTGTTTATCCATTAATAATCGATATTCAAAATCTAGAAAGTGTTTGTTTAATTTTCATATTATCTTAATTTATTCATTGAACCTGTTCGTTGTTTAAGATAATCTGGTGTTCCACTCGTTTGTAATCGACCTCGGCTCATGATAGCAATACGATCGGATAAAACATCAGCTTCTTCCAGAAAATGTGTTGTCAATAAAACGCATTTTCCTGTTAACTTCAATTTTCTTATAATAGTCCAAATTAGACGCCGATTGTACGGATCTTAAATTACAACACAAAACAGTAGACATGAGATTTTATTAGAAAAAAAGTCTCCTACCAATGCCACTTGTTGGTTCATCGAGAATAACAACCTACACATGTTTTACTTTAAAAATAGAATCAAAATCAATATGATAAATTAGCAAACTTTTGGATCATTGATTAACGAGATTCCAATTGACAATCGACGTTTCATTCCACCTGATAAATCTTTCGATAATGTGTTTCGATCATTTGATAATCCAATTAACGGAAGAATAGTATCAATTGACGCTTTCCTTTTTTCGTCATCCATATGACGCATCTTAAAAATCACAAATAATACAAATGTATGAAAAAAGAACTCAAGAACATCCTGTTTTACCTGTGCAACTAATTCTAAATGTTCTTCAACAGATAACTCATCATAAAGAATATCTAAGAAGAACACAGAATATATTTATATTTCCAACTAGAAGAATTTCTTTCACTTACCATATTGTGGACAAAAGCCAAGATGATGTCGAACTTCTTCAATCTGCAATCGATTATCGAGTCCTTTAATAGTTACACTGCCAGAGGTTGGTTTCATCATGCCTTAGAAAATAAAAGTAAAATCATCATGTGCAGTTAATTAATTTTACTTTTTACATACCAACAAGAATAAATGTTGTGGTTGTTTTTCCTGCACCGTTGTGTCCCAATAATGTGCATACTTCACCTTCAAAGAACTCAAGCGAAAGATCCGAGACGGCTTGAAATTTATCGAATGTCTAAATCAATGAATAAAACAAAAAGCTATAAAACAGTTACTATACGGAAAATGTTCTACTTTATTTAAATGATTAATTTTCATTGTTGGACTTTTTCGCGTTTCTAACTGTTCGAGTTCCATCGAATTGCTTCCCTTTGATACACCATTATTAACTATACTGAAATCATTATCACTATCAGTTGGGCTTACTGCTGAAGGCTTCCAATATGATTTTTGAAATAAATAATTCCATCGTTGTGCAACACCGAATTCACCGGGATTGAGACGTTCAACATAAATAGCGAGAAAGAAATACATGACGGAGTAGATTAACATCAGCAGAAGACAAAGGCCAATATACAGTTTGTATCCAAAGATGTTCGTGTAAAGTTCTCCCATAGAGGCCGTACCACCTATATAAAGAAATCTCGTCTGAATCGCTTTCTGCCATTCAGTTGACTTACCGCCTCGCCGATCGTACTGTAGCATAACTTGTACACAGAATAAAAGGCCAGCATTTGGAAGGAAACATAGAAAATATCGAAGGCCGACTGGTGCCGACGAATAAAAATCAATAAATGTTATTATCCAAATAACTAAGCCGACCAATTTTGATAATAGAGCTAAACATTTTATGTTACTTTATAAATTTCAAATCACAACTAAAAAATTGATATTTTACTTCTTTTAAAAAATTGCCCGAAAAATACAGCAAACACTGATACTTCAATTGAATAAACAAATAAGACTGTCCACACGACTGTCCAATCCATAGTATTAAAAACAGATTTGGTAACACCTGCACCACTGGTGCCTTTAAGAGCCACTTTGCTCAGAAGAGTTACAATGCAAGTTAATACAAAAAAAATACACATTGATCGTGTTATCCATACAAGATTATTGACCCAGGTACGAAGACCGAAGATTCGTAAATATTCCTAAAAAACGAATAATAATAATAATAGCTTCCATAGGCTTATCGTCCGTTGGGGCCAGCCCTGGGTCCACATGCGCTAGTTTCTTTCGTCTTTTTCTTTTTACGGACGACGGTATCTGTACCCTTTTCCCGTCCAACGCTTCTCCCATAAGGGTTGGCGATCACCATAAGCATCACGTGATTGTGACATCTATGATGGGGCTGCTTTTGACTCTGTATATTGACTAGCGATGCAATCAATACACTATCGGATGAGTCACCCGAGACAAGTGACCGTTAGTGATTTGTCCAGGGTCATTACATAACTGGTGATACTGAGGTTTGAACACAGCATATCCACTGAGTCATGTCGGCAAAAAAAAGAATATTAGAGCAAATAGAAACTCTTTTTGTTTTTATATTAAATGACACATTTTTAAGTTTGGTTTCCAACAGTAAGATGCAAGCATGAATGTAAATTAATGTGATGGAACTTTAAAATACGCACTCCGGAATATTAAAAGTAGTTCAGAAAGAGGAAAAGAACTTGCTATGTAATTAGCAACAGTTATAGAAACTCGAAGAAAATAAGAATCATGCAAAAATTCACTCAGGAGAAATATTTTAATGGCTGATGAAAGAATCAGATTTTCAATAAACCAATTATCTGCTAAACAGATGGAAATAGAAAAAAGACATAATCTCTCGTTCACATCTTTTGGCTAATTAAATTATTGTGATCGTAAAACTTCTTAGATTTCGGCATCTTTATCATCTACTGCGTTGGCATCATCACATCGAAAAAATACTTGCAAAGCACTCATTTTATCTCCAGATCAAATAAATTTAAGGTTTCGTGAACTACGACAGACAAAAAAAAGAATCGCTACGATCACATACGAAAAAATATTATCAACGTATGACGTCACTGTCACGACTGGTGAATCATATATTTTCCTTCATCTATGAAAAAATACGTCTAAATAATTTCTCATGGTAACCACGGAGAAACCTTATTTTCTGCAGCACACTCAGCACTGCATTGCTGAAATACATATAATTAAACAATTTCCTTTATAAATTTCCTATTCGAAGAATATCTGTCGATCGTTGATGTCTAATGACTTTGTTTCAGTGAATCGAAGCTCGTAACCATACGTCTTGTCACAGATTGATGAAGGTCAATAAAATGTTATTGTTGTTGTTTTTGTTTCAACATACTTTCTCTTCGTCTACGTCAAAAATTTAATTTTTTTCTTCTTCCTCTGAAGTTTCAACTAGTCAGCAAACGTACTTTTGTAACGAAACAAGTACGATAACATACGTAGGAAGTGTAAAAACTGAGGTCATATAGCTCCGCTGTCATTGCATTGAATTCTCTCGGTTTTTAATTCTTTATAACAGCATCATAAATAAATGATTATCTAATTTTACCTTGGTTTTATTTGCACGTTCTTCGACAATATATCCAACATTCAAAACAAAAGTGACGACATAAATAATCGAAAGAAATAGTGGAACGAAGAAATTAAAACCAGAATTCAATTGATCTATATAAACTTCAGGACAACCGAAATGATTCAAATAAATCTAAAAGAAAAACAATTTTTTATTTTTCAAATAAAACTAATTGATAATGAAACTAACACTTGATACGCTCTGATTGATATTCGTTACATATTCAATAATTGATAGATCAACAAAATATTGAACACCCAAAAATTGTGTTGTGTAATTCAGTATTGTTTTGTTGTCTAAAAACACGTAAAATGTTTATTGAAATTGCAAAATTCTGTAAATACCTTGACAATAATCTTCTGGTGATCGCTTCCATAAATAATCACTTGCAGCAAGTTTAACCTGTTGAGCTTGATAATATGTCAGGCCATTTCTGTATTCAAAATTAATCCGATAAAGACAAAAAACAAGTACTCAATAGGATCTAGAAAAACGTACTCTTGCATTCGTAATGTATATTGAACTTGATCGGGCATCGAAGAAGCACTGCTACATGCGGAATCGATATTAGTAAAATAAATAAAGGCAAAAATCGATTCCAATGTTGAACTTGAATAAGATGATAAGACGGGCGTGGACAAAACTTGAACTGAAGCATCAATAAGAAAAAAATATTCAAGAGTGCGTTCAAGTGACTAGAAATTTATTAATTATGTATAACATTTCCTTCCCTTGCAAACAATCATGAAAATAGAACTACTCAAGTCCACCTTGTTAGAAATGCATTCATATAACGCATGTAATGAGCAACTATTTTTTATATTCGAACTCAATAAAACAAGAATAACAATATCCACTGTTTTATTCTGTTAGTTATTTGTTGAATTCGTGGTTTTCATTTTGCTATTATTATTGATAAACTTACTGTTAGTAGGAAAGCCGGGTACATTCTGTGATAGACTGTTTACTGCAGTTTGCACAATTTGCTGTGTGCACGTATTGTCTACATATGAAAATAATTGAAATGATTACAAAGCATAATAGTCAAAATAAAAATTTACTGGGATAATAATAAGTCGTATTTGCAGTTGTACTGTTACTCAGCATGGGATCATGTGGACGGAATGCTGCTATTTGTCGAGCAGGATAATAGCTGCGCTCGAGAAGGAATCGCATACCAATCAGGAGAGCCAAGAATACATATGCCAGAAGGAACTCGGCTATTGTTTGGCCACGCTTACGCTTTGTCAACAGAAGCATCTTGATGAGAAGAGCTCGATATTCGCCGAGAAATCTCATGAATCCTCCCTTCCTATTCGCACTCTTTTCTGAACCCATGATCGTCAAATGTCTATATAAAAATGCAATAATAACTTAAATATATACTTCTCTGAGAAAAATGCTCTCAAATGCATGACCTCCGTGTTTTTCTAGTTACACAACCACTTTTATGATGTTCTTTTTTCTACATTTTTTTTTGTCATTCCTGTTCATTTTTTTTTTGCATACGGAAGAATCAACTCACGTTGATCTCAAATATAGGTAAGAATGCAGTCAATATTTTGTGAGAAAAAAAAACAGAAAGAACAAGAAAAACATTTTATTCGCATCGTGGTTTTTGTCGCAAAGCAAATTAGTTCTGTTACTATTTATTTGATGTAACAAATACGATGATTTATGATCAATTTCGAAATACTCCTGTTTTTATCACTTCCTTCTATAGAACTCAAATGAATTATCTCATATAAAAATCGACATTTTAGTAACGATAAATCAATAAAAAAAACTTAATTCCATTGCGCACTATTTACTCAATGCTATTGCAGTTTTTTTTCCTCTATTATAATGAATTTATTTCACGAGAGACAAAAAGAACAAAATCAACAGAGAAAAAGAAAGAACTACGGATGCTAGTTATATTATAGAGTATAATTAAGAATGATGTCATTTTAACTTGAAGTATTCCTTACGTACGGTTATTTGAATTAACCAAGTAAAACAACGAAATGACTTGATGACTGCGATTATCAGCGAAACTTCTACAACGCACTGTTGATATATGATGAAATAAAGAAAATAGAATTTTTATTTTCTTCCTAGTGGAAAAGTTACACGGTATTTTTCGTTTTATTGATTTCAGACGAAATTTCTTTCAAAAACAAATGCAATTGATTGACATTTGCTTCTTTTCTAATTGCTTGTGAGTGTCAACATATTTTTAGATTGCAAAAACAATAGTGAACGCATTAGTCAGTTGTAGACGAGATCGATTGTGTCGAAGTCAAACCTATGAAGAAATTCAATAAGAAATTATCTTGTCAACTATTTTTCTTTCCCATTCTTTCATAGATTAGTCATAGCACAAAATATGTCTCACTTGGTAACATAATCCTTATAATGTAAAAACATTTTGAACAATATCATCGATTTTTTTATTTTCAACTCTTTTGACAACACTAGAGCCTAATTGAAAAGAGTACAAAAACCTAGCAACTCTGTAAAAAAATATTTACACTGTCAGTTCCCGCATTGGCCACTGCAAGGTCCATCTTTTTGTCATCATTAAAATCGCTAGCAATCAGAACAAAGGGAAGAGACCCATAGCCAATCGGAAAAATAGTTTCCTTTGTAAAACTACCATTGCCAAATCCAATGAATACAACTATATTGCTCGTACCACGATTAGCAACAGCTATGTCTAATAGATTATCGTTGTTAAAGTCACTAACAGCCAAAGAGTATGGATGCGAACCAAAACCAGTAGAATATAAATTCTGATAAATGAAAGACCCATTGCCATATCCCAGAAAAATGCGTACATAGTTGCTATCTTGAATGGCAATAACTATGTCCAGTATGTTATCGTTGTTAAAATCACCAGCAGCTAACGCGTATGAAGAAGATTGAGAGCTAGTTGAAAAGTTAATCTGTTGTGCAAATGAAAGATTACCATAGCCAAGAAATATACTAATGGTGTCTGTACCTGAATTCACAACGGCGATATCCATATTTTTATCAAGGTTAAAATCACCAACGACCGACGATTGTGGCTGTGAACCCATTCCAGTTGTGAGAGTTGTTTTTCTCTGAAACGCTTGATTGGCATAACCCATGAATATGGCAAGACTATTGCTACGAGAATTAACAACAACGAAATCCAGTCGATTGTCATGATTGAAGTCGCCTATAGCTACGGATTTTGAGTCGAAAGGAGAAGAGTAAGTAATTAGCTCTGCAAAAGTGCCATTACCATATCCCAAGAGTATTCCAATTTCATTATTCCCACCCACAATGATCACATCAAGTTGATGATCGTTATTCAAATCGGCAGCAGCTACAAACCTTGGACTAGTTCCATCTAAATAGGTGGTTAGACGTGCAAAAGTACCATTACCATACCCAAGAAGTATAACTAGATCCTTGCTCCAGTGATTTGCTACGGCGATATCTAATAGAGTATCGTTGTTGAAATCACCAACAGTCACAGACCATGGCCTGCTTCCAATCGAAAACTTCGTTTGTTTTTCAAAAGTACCATTACTACGTCCGAGCAATAAACTCACATTACCGCTTACAGAGTTGGTAACGATAATATCTAGTCGAGTGTCATTGTTGAAGTCACCAACAGCAACAGACGATGGTGAAATTCCAGTTGAATAGGTAATTTGCCTTTCAAAAGTGCCATCGCCATAGCCAAGAAGTATACTTATACTATTATTTCCCCAATTAGCGACAACGATATCCAGTATGTTGTCATCATTGAAATCGTCGATCGCTACAAACACTGGGTGAGCCTCAGTTGAGTAGGTGCGTAGCTCACCAAAATAGCCATTGCCGTATCCGAGACGTACACCAACTGTATGATTCTTCCAATGAGCGACAATAATGTCCAAGCGATTGTCATTGTTGAAGTCGCTAACTGCTACAAAACGTGGATCAGACGCCAAACCTGTTGAATAGATTGTTTCATGTGCAAAACTGCCATTACCATATCCGAGTCGTACACCTAGATTATCACTGCCAGAATTGGCAACGACAATATCTAAATGACTATCATTGTTGAAGTCACCGAGAGCGACAGAATTTGGTATGGAAGCAGTTGGATAGGATCTTTCACTGATAAATAATCCGACATCATATGCAACTAGAACATCGATAGTGTCATTTCCATCGTAAGTAACAATGACTTCTGATTGCCCATCGTTGTCTAAATCTCCGACAGCAATAGTCAATGGAACGTGATGAAAACTATTTCCATAACTGCTTTGAACTGAAAATGATCCCTTATCATTACCGAGAAGTATATCAACATTTTTGGTACCATCACTCGCTACAGCAATATCTAAATGAGCATCATTGTTAAAATAACCAATGCCTGCATACTTCGGCTTCGAATTTGATCCGACTGAATATGTCACTTCATTTGCAAATGTACCATTCCCATATCCTAGAAGTACACCAACGTTTTGAGTACCATAATTTGTAGTAATGATATCAGAGCGATTGTCCTTATTGACATCGTAAACTATAAGACCTCTAAGACCAGAGCCACTTCCCGACGCCAGGACAACATATTTTTCTAGTGCTCCTATATTTTTTTGAATCAATACACTTATATTATACCATGCCCTACTAGCAGCAACGATATCCAATCGATTGTCATTATTGACATCTACAGCAATCACATAATTTACAGCATGATCACTTGAATAGATTGTTGGCTTTCCAAAACTACCATCACCATATCCAAAAAATATAACTAATTCGTCACTGCCTGAGCTAGCAACAATGATATCCATGTAAGTGTCATTATTGAGATCACCAGTCGTTACACACACTCCCGATGTACCTGATGGATATCCTGTTTCATTACCAAAACTGCCATTTCCATATCCAAGATATACACTTATATTTTGACGGTCAACATTGGTGGCAACAATATCCAGTTGATCATCGTTGTTAAAGTCATTAACAGCTATAGACCAAAATCCTGGTCCAGTTGACGATATTGCTTGTCTAGTAAAACTACCGTCTCCATGACCGAGAAGAATACCTATACTATCACTTGCAAAGTTAGCAACAACAATATCGAGATAAGCATCGTTGTTGAAATCACCAACTGCTACAGATGTTGGCATATTTCCAGTAGAATAGGTGCTTTGACACGCAAATGTACCGTCTCCATAACCGAAACATAAGCTCACACTATCGTTTCCAGAATTGGCAACAACGATATCTAAATGAGCATCAGCATTGAAATCACCGACAGCTATTGATAGTGGATGAATACCGCTTGGATAACTCCTCTCAATTGAAAAACTACCATTTCCATATCCGAGAAGCACACCTATACTATTACTTTCATAGTTGACAACAGCAATGTCTAAATGAGTATCGTTGTTGAAATCACCGACAGCAACAGAAATTGGATTAGTACCAACTGAATAAGTTGTTTGTATCCCAAAAGTTCCATTGCCATATCCAAGAAATAAACTGACATCGTTACTACCGAAATTAGCAGTAACAATATCTAGATAAGTGTCGTTATTAAAATCACCAACACCTATAGATCTCGGTGAATTTCCAGTTGAAAATCCCATTCTTTCTTGAAAGCCCTGATAGTGTCCACGGAGAACGTCGATACTGTTCGTATGATTGTTTACCACGATGACATCTAATCTATTATCTTTGTTGAAATCACACACAGCAACTGATACTGATGATGTAGAACCGGTCGTATACATGATTGGCATTGCAAAAGTACCATCCCCATAACCAAGGAGTATGCCTATGTTTTCGGTGCCTTGACCACTAACAACTAGATCTTGCCTATTGTCCTTGTTAAAATCACCAACATTAATAGTATATGGAAAAGTAGTGCCGGTAGAGTACGTTACTTGGTTTCCAAAGCTTCCATTACCATAACCTAGGAGTACACTTATACATTTAATTCCATAATTAGCAACTGCTATATCCAAGTAATTATCATTGTTAAAATAGCCAACGGCGACTGAATACGGACGAGAATGATGGCCCGTTGAAAATCTTGTTTGATTACTGAAGATCCCATTGGCGTAACCAAGAAATACACCGACATTGTCCGTACCAAAATTGGCAATGACCATATCAAGATAATTGTCATTGTTAAAATCTCCAGTAGTAACTGACAGTGGTAGAGAATCATATCCTGTCGAATATATTATTGGTTTCGAAAATTTTCCATATCCGCACCCATGAAAAATACTGACACTATCCCTACCATAATTGACGCTTACAATATCATTTATTTGATCATTATTGAAATCAGCTATACTGATCCAAATTGGTTTATAGGAGTTCGTAAAAATTGAATTTTGTTTTTCGAAACGACCATCGCCCAATCCAAAAAATATATCGATATTGTTTATAGCAAAATTCGCCACAGCAATATCAAGTATAGTATCATTATCGATATGTGCAACTGCGATTGAATATGGACGTGAATCAGATCCAGTGAAATATTTTTTTTTATTACCAAACGTCCCATTGCCGAATCCGAAAAATATCTCTATATCGTCAACTTGAGAATTTGCAACGACGATATCAAGCCAAGAGTCATTGTTAAAATCTCCAACTGCAACAGATCGTGGACGAGTGTTGTATGCGATTGGATTATTTTCCTTCTTTTTAAAGTGTAACTTGCAGTTTCTAACTAAACGATACATGAAAAATGCTGTGATAGGTGTTAGATTATTTGTATTATAAAAACATTTTTCGATTCAAATGATAATTAAAACAGATAAATGTTTGATCTAAGTTTACTGATAGGAAAAAGCCTATTCATGAATAAGAAAATATCATACCGGTAAAGTTTTGCGAAGTGAAAAAAATCGCCGGTATAGCAATCATCATTGCCAGAAATATGAACACAATAAATGCACCAGTGGCTGCTGAAAGTGGATGTGTTGACCAACATGAATATTCCCTAATGAAAGTATTTCATATGGCATAACTAATTTAGAAGAAAACAAAGTGGTATACAAAGGTGTAGGTGTCATTGCCGTTTTCTTTGTTTTGTTAGTAACGGTGATAAGGCTTAGTGCATTCGATTGATTTCGATTTGCGTTTTGTTCTTGTTGATTATTGGCATTAGGTTGTTGTTCAGTCAGCGAGTATTCAAATGAGTAAGCAGGATTATCCATAGAAATTGGAACCATCTAAATTAAAATTATAAATATATTTAAAAGGTACTTATTCGCGGCTATTAAAATTAGTTATCTACTAGGCCTATTTCACGTAGAGACACTATTCATCTAGTAATTCTATTGTAGCATTTTAAAAGATAAAGAAAAAATTGCACGAGTAATTTTCAACGATATCTTCTGAATGATCTACTTTGAACGTTATCACAAAGATAACAAAATTTATTTTTTAATATTATAATAACTTCATGTATATTCTCTAATATGATTTAGAGTAGAAAAAAACTCGACTACTTGTTTATTATAAGATGTTTTCTAATTTATTCATTCATAATAGTCCTATTGTATAATTATTATAAGTCTGATAATCAAATAAATGTGGAAACTTCGGATTTCATTCGAGAGTTATGTGTACTGAAAAACGTGCATGGGACATATGAGCCATTCTAGAATGTCTGAACATCAAAATTATCATGAGAAACTAGGTAATTTGATTTCTGGATGCAGTTTTTGTGCATTTTGAGACTTTTTTCAGGCGGTGTTTCGTTAGAAAGCTACGATTTATTTCAAAACCAATATCAGATTCGGAATCAGCGCTAAAAACTAAGTCGATTTATATATGTTGTGAATAATTCTGAGAAAAATTTGTTTTCTGAAAAAAAATCCCTGTACCCCTCCTCAGGGATGGTCTGATCAAAAATGACAATTTTTTGATAACTCAGCCATTTCTTGAGGGATCCTTCTCATCTTCGAACTCGACCGAGATATTCATGAGATTGAACTGTGTGGAAAATTTCATCACGATCTGACTCTCCTTTCGAAAGTTATCGTGCCTACGGCCGGACGGACACTGACCGATTCTAGTGTACTCACTTTTTGAGTACACGCAAAGATTCTTTCGAACTAAATACCCATGTCGAAAAATCCTACGCAACATAGTGATTCAACATTTCTATTGGAAATTCTTATTTGATGTAAAAATAAAAAACTCTGAATGCTCACAATTATTTTTTTCGTGTACGACCAAAATTTAACGTGACGTTTTAATATTACTTGTTGATCATAACCAAGATTATACTTTGATTCACAAGTGTTTTTATACTTGTTTAGTTATTTTTATTACAGTAATATGTACACTTAATGTATTCACGAGATAAAAAAACGTAATATACTCATATAAACAGTCCTTATCAGCGCAGTTCAATGTCATAATAATACAACATGTTATGATATACACGCCGATTTAAAACATTCATAATTAAGCTATAAGATAAATCACTCCCGAGAAAAAATACACTGTCATAACACTATAGAACAAAATCAATTTTCTTTTTTTTCTGTCTCCTACTCTCTCGATATGTCAATGGGATACCAATTAAGACGCCACTACTAAGGACAAGGTAAGCGTGCATTAGATAAATACACGCTTTTTGACATGAAATTTTGTTAATAAAGAAAGAAAAAGAAAGAGTAGACAACCGAATGGTTTGTTTGTATAAATTATTTATGTCTACTGTATGTGAAATGAATTAACGTTGCAATTAGTTTGTGACTCTGTGTAAAGCACAACTATTTTTCTGCATAGACTGATATGAATCTTTTTCGAAAAATTTATCGTAGAACCTTGCTTGCAGATGAAATCGTTGCTAATGACTGTTTGCATCGATTAACATGTATAAGAAATTTTTCACGAAATCATGAAGCAGAAAAGAAAAACAGATCTACCAATGCTACCGATCAAGTTTTGTTTAGTGATTAGCGTTCTTTTTTTCTATTAAGCTTCTGTGTAGGTTAATTTCAAGCAGACTACTCGAATAGTTATTAATGAAGAACCCTAAAGAATATTTTATTATTTCAATAAATTAAATGACAAACGTTAACGAAATAAATTCTGCGTTTGTTCACAATAAAACCGTGATGTTGAATTTCGTAGATATTCTCATAGAAAACAAATTTTATCTTTGACTCTTGGCAAATGGCTAACAAATATTAAGTACAAAAAAGACAATAGCATGACTACGTTGAAGGCTATTAACAACTTATAGAAATGAGATCAAATAATTGTGACGCGCCGTTTGAGCTTTGAAATTTTTATTTCTATGTTTATTACATAAACTTGATATTTTTGTATTTTCTCCATCAGTTAGTCTTTTCTAGTTAAAAAAAATTAATTTGCGTTCCACTATCTTCGTAATTCAGATATGGACAATTACTAGTGTTGATATACATCTAGTCAATATTATTGCAATACACTTTCATACTCTTCCATAACTGTCAAATATTATCTTAGAAAATATCTACGTAACAGTGATGTCCATCACTTGATGAAATAGATTATTTTTCTAGATGAAAGTATGTACTCGAAAAAGAAACAACAATCTTGCGTTTATTATTCATATTCAAGTGATCAAAAATAAAGCAACTACTAGACGAGCAAGACATTAAATATTATGTTTCTACTATATGAATATTGTAAACACATATATACTGCGTTCAGAGAGAAACAGGAATTCCTACATGAACGTCATAGAAAATACTAATAGCATCACGGTATTCTTTCATGTGTTGACTTGGTACCATGGAGAGGGAAATATTGTCTCGCGTACATATTTTAGAAATACACATGTGGCATAGGTTAGATTTTTCTTTCGTTCTACGTTGGGATGTTTGTCTCTGCTCGCTCGTACTTTAGAAACGCTACATATTTATTTTCACCTTGTTCACTATGTTGAAATTCTAAACTGCAGTTAGCATCTCAAAGTCTTATTGTTTATTCATTTTCAATAGCAGAAATTGAAATACAGAGTAATAAATTTTATTTGGATCCAACTAGTTGTTTATTATTTTTTGAAAATCAGAAAATATCGAAACGATAAATTCAGGCCAATAACATCTCCGTTATGAATATTTCGAACTTTATAAAATAATTTACAGGCGCTTAAAACAATTGAACGGAATATGTGAATTTTGCCATCTGCGATTCTATGATTTATTGTACACATTATTTAAACAATTCAAGGATGTTGCGCTCTAACATGCAGAAAACGAAATGATTGGCAATTATCTGTTTTTGATCTGAAAAACAATCACACATCTTTCAGTTTCAGATTATTATTAATTAAAATACTTCACATTGAACAATTTTGGAATTATCATGGAGCAAATATTGATTATTATCGGATTAATTTTTGTATTTGTCAGTGAGTATAAATTCTACTCTTTGATTGTATGTATAGTATTATCTCGAATTAATATTTCTTTTTTTTTGTGAAAAGTATCGGTACATAGCATACACAAGCCATTTATTTGGTCAGGTTATGATTGGCATATACGTCATGTTAATAATAGTGGTCCGGGTACGATCCCATATTTCGAATCGAAAATAAAATTTTTCTTGACGTTCTTATCTTTTTTGTAAGGTCCAAATAACTGGAATCGCAATAATGTGCGGGTCGATACTAAACACAGATTACATCTCCAAATGAATCATTCGCCCGAGACAGGTGGGTGGAATTGTGCCGAATTGTATACAAATGTTAACCTTGGCTACGGAACATACCGATGGAAAGTTCAAGGAAGAATTGATCATTTCGATCGGAATGTTGTGTTAGGTCTCTTTTTGTACAATGGGCCTGATGGATCGAATGAAATCGACATTGAAGTGGCTAAATGGGGCGAGAACATAACTCAACCGAAAAATTTATGCTACACAGTCTATCCACGAAATGCAAGTGGTCCACATCGTGTGTCTGGCCACAAAAGATTCTCTCTTCAGGGGCTTTACAGCACTCATCGGTTCACATGGGCACCAAACAAAGTTACATTTGGAAGTCAACATGGATTTTACGATTCACCACATATGAATCAAATTTTTGCATATGAGACACCATCGACATTTCACCCAGCAATACCAGAGACGCCCATGCCAGTTCATATGAATCTATGGGCATTTAAGGGCCATTCACCAATCAATAAGAAAAATGTCGAAGTGATAATTCACGAATTTGCACATATTCCAGCCTGAAAAGATATTCTATTATAATGCATTGTCACCAAAATAGAACAATGAATCCCTACTATAAATAGAAATAGATCCTTTGCATGAATTGAAAAACAAACCAGTTGTAGAATTATTGAAAGTTAATGTCGCTGCTGTTTAAAACATAATGCTCTGCTTCTCCGTTTTATAAAGAATTGTGGAATGATATTTCTTGATTTTGAAATTTTCTCAAAATTCTGTTTACGTAGAAATCATACAAAGCAGAGAAGAACTCATTGAATACCTTTAGCATGCGTGCTTCTTTCGTCAAGATAAATAATTTTTTTCTCGGAAAGCGAGCAAACCTAGCTAGTTGATCACTAATTTTTTGTTGGATGCTGTTTCCTCTGCTGATATATCAAAAACAAAAACTATCCCAGAAGAGAAATACTATTTCAACATTATTCATTATGATTGATTATACACGCATAGAAAATGTAAGTATATTTCTGAACATTGAACATAATATTGAAGAGATCTTTAAGCAAAATTTACATTAATTAGCTGAAATCTGTAGATAGAACTTGTATAATATAAAAAAAAACTGTAAGAATAAAATTAAAAAAAAATAAGCAAATACATAGTTTTTAATAAATAGATAATAAGTACTACTAGATAATGAATAACAACAATGAGAGTATCACTCTACTCAGATATTACCTTTATATTTGGCCAAAATGAAAATTTTTTACTCTACAAACACAAAAACTACGCAGATACAGAAAATAGCTGTTTATTCGTTTGTTGAATGCTTATTTGCGATTTCGTTGGCGATATCATTATTTATCTGTCGTCGCAATCTTGAAACTTCAAACACAGGCAATTGAAAAAACCAATTCTTCTTGCTAAGTAAATGTGCGATAGCTGAATACCAGGCAATCGATGCAGTTAGAATACCGAATGCGCCCGCTGCTCGCTGTAAATTATAGTGACTTTGTAAAAACTTGCTAGCCGTAAGAAGACTCAAACAGATAACGAGAAAAACGAACAGAGAAATAGTAACAAAATTCGTTCGTAGAACGGAAATAAGCATAAGTGTTGTATAAATTGTCCATGCAAGAAAAAATACACCAAGTGCATTATTGAGTGCGTTGGCATCATGATAATCGCCAAGAAAGTTGAATGATAGAATATGAAGTGCTGCAAAACTGAGCCAGAATCCGCCATAAGAACAAAATATCAAAGCAAGTAGATTGTTGCCATTACGAAATTCGAGAAGTCCAGCTAACAATTGAATGAGTCCGCCATAGCATAGAGCAGGTCCCATCACTACACCCAACGAAGCATTAATAGGAACGCTTGCACCAGCAAGATACATCGATGCTATAAATGTGGTCAAGGCAAATGCGCATAAGCCCAGCGGTGCTGCATTCAACTCATGGTAGGGAGGGCGATTGAGCTGACTAGATTCCGGCGGCGAAGATTTCATCATATGTTCGAATTTGAGAAATTTTTCGATTGTTAATCGACTTTCTTCATTCAAATTTTCTATCGTGATCGTTATTGGTTTCGTGCCTGCCATTGTTTCGCTAAGCCGATTTAAGGTATTCTGTGAGTATCGAAAACGAAAAGCTACTATTATAATCAGATAGAGTAGATAGTAATGATATTCTTTTTTTCACATCAAAATCACATTATTTTGAGCGTCGACGGAGAGAGAATGATTATTTATAACAATATCAAATGAATCATTTGAAAATGCCGTGATGAAGCAAACAGCACGATTTATGAATGGTCAAACATTGTTGCCCTTTTCTTTCGCGCACTGCACTTTTGTGTGACGTGCATATGTTTTAGCATCGAAAAAAATAGTTATGTCTAGCTGCATCATATAACACGTAAGCTAAAAGGTAATAAAGTGCTAATAAATTCTTTTGAAAAAAAGAATCTGAATAATAATTTCATCAAATAAACTTGGCCATCGAACAAGCAAATTGAAAACGTCTTTGAATTCTTATGTCGATTAAAATTGCTACTGTTTAGAAGAACATTTCGCCATGTGACCTTCAAAAATATATATTTCTTCACACATAACGGATTCTGCAGAGCAAACACAAACGAAAAAATAGATTTACATTAATCCGAAATAAATCTCTAAAGTCATTTTTTCATACAACGATAATTCATGGAACCAATTCTTTGATGGAAATATGATCCGTATTGTACTTATCATTTTAGCTCAGCTATGACCTTTTTATTAGACTTTTTTTCCTCAACGACATATGGAATCTTTATTTAATCAATTACTTAGCCACAACGATGTACTTTAAGAAGCACAGTTTCTTTTTCTCTTCAGACGTACTTCTCGAGCAGTGCTGACCTTTTCTTTCTTCACATTCCTTATACCATCTCATATTACTTTAATGATCGTATTGATGCAATCTGAAAGTAATTCATTCATGTCTCTTATCTCTAATTCATGCACTTACATTATTATATAGCACTGACTTGCGAATCGATCTTTACATAGTCATGCGCAATATTTTTATTGGATAAAAAGGGAAGCTCACTTTTTTTCAAGAATAAACTGATTCTCTTATAACATAATGTAGCTGATGCTTTAGATTAGAGCCAACAGATGAAGGAGATCAAAAAGAATTCATTTGCGAAATGGTATCAGACATTGATATGACCAGTTTCCATTATAGCATGTCATTTTTAAAATAAATTACGTGCAGATAATTACTGAATTCCATGAATGTTGAAATAAAAAGGGTGCGGGTGTGGTAAGGTTTCAGAGGACCTCTAACACCCACACGTCACACTCGCGTAAGCCATGTTCTAATCAGGAATTATGTATAGTTGCACTGACGAATGTGCTCTGGGCTGTCTTAAAAAAACTAGATTTATGAAAGTTTCGTTTACTTATTTTCGCGTTTATTAATGACAAAAGAATTTAATAAGAAAATTATGAATGGCCCTTGTTTCCAGATGTCTTTTTGCCACGAATCTCTTTAGTGCTGGTTGTTGCCGTTGCCGTTTGCGTGTACCATGTATTAACTTTTTTTCGTAGCCCTTCACCCGTTTGAACTTTTGATTTGATCTCAGGCTGTTGCGATTGATTGGCTGCTTTTTTCTTATTTTCCAAACCAGTTAGAATGACATAAGTGTGTTGTAATAAAATAATATCTTCGACTTCAAACATCGCGAGATCTTCGTAATTAATACCATTACTCCATAAATCCGTTCGTTCAAGATAAATTTGTAATGGTACATCGAGACTTATGTTTGCATTCAATATACGTACTATCAATCGTTTGAGCATTGCAATCCAAATATCAATTGATTTGAGTTTTTCAGTAATTTTATTTTCTTCAAATGTTGCACGACAAAATGCTTCAATAATTCGTTTTCGATCTTGTGGATTAAATGCTTCTTCAGCAAGTTCTTTCTTTATGTAAACACGTAAGACTTGATCAAATGCAATTTCTTCAAACATTTCATAGAAATCAATTATATATCGTAATTGAATCGCAGAAAAATTTGTCCAACGTAGAATACTATCGTTTAAACGAGATTTTGAGCGAATAAATTTTTCAATAAATAACTGAACCGTCATATCTTTTCTTAGCCTTTCTGCGGCTATGGTTCGAATATAAGTAAAAATATTGTCAAGTGAACCGAGATAATGAAGAATGTCATCTGGATTCATAGTCTTAATTAAACGACTCAATC